AAAGAAAGAAAGAAAGAAAGAAAGAAAGAAAGAAAGAAAGAAAGAAAGAAAGAAAGAAAGAAAGAAAGAAAGAAAGAAAGAAAGAAAGAAAGAAAGAAAAGGAGGGAGGGAGGGAGGGAGGGAAGGAAGGAAGTTGGAAGGCACTAACAAGTTTATGGACTGATTTAGGGGACATAAATATAGCTGAAATAATACTGAAAAGGAAGGAAAATAAACCCAACTTTATATAAAATTAGAGGATGTTGGGGCTGGGAAGGTGGCTTAGTGGTAGAGTGCTTGCCTTGCATGCCTAAGGCCCTGGGTTCAATTCCTCAGCACCACATAAGCAGAAAAGGCTGGAAGTGGCGCTGTGGCTCAAGTGGTAGAGCACTAGCCTTGAGCTGAAGAGCTGAGGGACGACACCCAGGCCCAGAGTTCAGGCCCCAAGACCAGCAAAAAAATAAAAAAAATAGAGGATGTTTAAGGATAGAAATGGAGATAAGAACCAAGGAAGCTACAGAATAAGAGAATTTGTGTGTAAGATTTTTCCTTCATCCCCTCTGATTTGAATAAAAACAGTTGTTACTTTTAAACTTTCTTCCTAAAAAGAAAATGGGAGACATCCACAGATGTCAAGACAAAGAGTCTTGAAGGTGTCAAGAAGTAGAGCGACATTCCCAAGCCCTGAGGCATAGCCTGGTTAGGTCCTAGGCCTCAGAGATCATTCTGGGAAGGTAGTGGTGAAAGTGTAAATCCAGCTGGGGAAATACAGGGAAGCCACATTTTGAGAGGTTGAATTGGGAGTCTTCATTAGAAACCTGGCGTCTGCAGGGGGACTCCTGTCACAAAGACCTACAGCCCCTTGAACAACCTTAACACTGTTAGAAAACTGAGACAAGAGAGCAGGAGAGGAAAGATAGAACATAAAAACAATACCAATTACCCAGATTAACCCCAATGGAGAGCTGAAGTGAGATGCCATTGTTAGACTCGAACTGGAGACCCCCGAGAGACCCCCAGAGACCACAACCAATGCAAACAGCAAAAGAATCGTTTATTTGCAAGCTCGAGCTTAGACTCACAATCATCACCCATGCAGCAGGTCAGAGTTGTGAGTCCCAGATCCCTTGTCCAGCAGGGTTTTTATTGAGGGGGAAGGATGTCTTAAGCTCATTGGTTAGGGGTATGATCATTTCCAGTAAGGGCAGGGACTTTCTAACTTAACGGTTACAGGATAGGCTAAATCATACATCATTGATTGGATAAGTGGAGCTAACTACAGGAATGCTGAATTATGTCTTGTCCTAAATGTTTTTTCGGCAGGGTTGGGGGGAGAGACTGCCCAAATCCTGGACTGGTCAGGGCAGACTGATCCCTTAATAATTCTTACTGTTATCTTGCCTTGGTGCAGGATCTAGCACTTACTTTCCAATAACAGATGATAAATGTTTTAGTTTTGTCTGAAATTACTGCTAAACTTATTTTTGGTCTCTCACCATGGTGACCAGAGGAGAGCCAAGAGACAGAACACAGCACACAGGCCTGGTATAATGGCATCTGAGCTAAAACAGGGTCAGGTCAGGAGGCAAGGTTACAGGAAACTTGAGAATCTCTTAAATTCAAGGCTCAGGACTGAGGTCCAGTACCCTATCCTTGTCGGGCCCACCCCCAGGAATTCAGGCACACCCATCACCTGGGAAGTGAGACTTTCCCTCCCTCCACCATGAAGACAAAATGGCACCAGTTAAACCCAATTTCCCATCCACCACGTGGCCAAGATGGTCCCCCTAGCATCCCCACTTCAAAAGCAGAGTATCACAATTTGATGGGGAAAACGGAGAGCAGGAGCCTCAAGCCACGGCCCTGCTGCTCATAAGGAATGTGTCTGAATCAGCAATTGCTACATAAAGTCTTTGCAGTCACCTTCTTGCCTCCCTCTTTACGCACATCAACTTAACCACTAACTCTGAACAAGAAAGACCAGATGAGAGATGTGAGGACAACTGTTTGGACGGGTTTTTGCAAAAGCTCTTGGCACATTTTCTAGATGGTTATTAGATCAGTAAACCCTAGTAAAAGTGAACACCGGCATTGAAACAATCTACACTGGGTGCGATTTATTTCCTTTTCTCAGGGAAAGGAAAACAGGTGGTTCATTGCCTTCTGGTTTCTGTAAAGTAGGATACTGTTTTATTTTATTTTTTCAGGTACTTAGCTAATTTTTAATCTAAGTTTTAAAAAACTGAAAAGAATTTAGCTATTGCACCCTCCTTAGTGTTTACAACGTTATGTCCAATTATTATTTTCCAAATAAAATAAATAGGAGGCACTTATTCTGCGCTTGGTACTTTTAGATCAAACGCAGAAAAGCGGGGAGGAGGGAGACGAGTTAATGTCTGGTCCAGGTATTAATTACGCCCTCCTAATTTTCACAGCCACCTGCTTTTGTAAAGCTTGCCCTACGATGGACTACGTTTCCCAAGAGCACAGGCACAATGACTCTCATGAAGGGCCTTATGGGAGTTGTAGTCTGGAGCGAGCCTTTTTCTTTTTTCTAGCCTCTGACTCGCTGATTTGGGTGCTACCAATTAGCTGGGGCCATGTCAGTGAGGCCGTGGCCCAATCAGAAAACGGAGTATCAGAGTCCAGCGCACTAATTGGCTAATAAGTGAACTTGAGGCGGGACAAACAGGTGGGCGGACAACTACGACAATTGGGCAAGGTGTTCTCAGCGGCAGGCAGGGATTGGTTGGGCGCCGGGTATGGGAGGTCAGGGAAGGGGCGGAGGCAGGAAACAAGAGCAGGAAGAGCGGTGGCGAGGCGGCGGCGGCGGCGGAGTCGGTGGTTGCAGAGTCGAGACTACGGCTCCCGGGGGTGGCGGCGGCCGCGTGAGCAGGATGCGGGTCCGGGTCGGACTGACGCTGCTGCTCTGTACGGTTCTCCTGGGCGCGGCCTCGGCGTCCTCCGGTCAGTATCCACTTCTGGGGCCGAAGGCCCCGAGCCGCCGCCCCCCCCCCCCGGCCTCCATCCCTGGACGCGGCCCTGGGGGGCTCCCGGGCCTGGACTCCGTTCTGTCCGGTTCCAGCCTGCCTGTCACTGGCGCTTTCCTTGCGGGGGCGGGGGGGTGAGAGGTCAGTTAGCCTGCGCTACAATGCGGGTGTTTCGGGACTGGAGATGAAGGAGCGGACGGGCGGTTACCCTAACTGCCCGGACCTCTCTCCCACGAAGGAAACTTTGCACGGCTCCTCCCGAGTCGCCCGGGTGGGGATGAGCCCCGTGGCTGCCTGAGCCCCACGTGTGACACGTCAAGCCCCGATGGGGCCGCCCGAGCCTCCGGCAGGCGGTGTCCTGCTTAGAGGCTGCAGCCCCACATGTGGGCTGTGTCGTTGACACGCTTCCCTGGAGCTGTCTTGGGACAGAGCCGGGTCCTGAGAAGACAGGGTGATGGCAGTGGCCTGGTAGCTTTGCATAACACCTGCTTAGTCTTTTTTAAAAGGGAGGAAAAATGAGGGGAGGGGGGAAACTTGAAGTCCTCTAATCATCTCCTCCCTCCCAACCCCTTTTAACAAACCTTGCTGAGAAAGTGTGACCTCTGTCACCGTGTTTCTACGTTGGCCCCATGGGTTTTGGTAGTTTTATGATTTTTTTTCCTTTTAGAAAGATTTGCGAGTTCTAAAATGAATAGCAAATAATTTCACCTTTTTATATGCAGGTATCACAATGTGTATGCTTTTGAATTGACTTTCCAGTTCGTCAGTGTGTATTTTTTTTTTCTTAAAATAATTTCCTTTCATGTTTTCCCACCTGTCTTACGTCAGAAAACTTAGGGTTTGAGAGCTTAAAAAAGTCTTTGTATTCTAAGAGTTGGTACAGAAACAGTACAAATAAAGCTTTGGAATTTTCAGCAGTTTCAGTCAACAAGACAGCTGTTCTGTGGCTTTAAATTTTTTTCAGAACAGAGTATAAATGTTAACTCTTTTTTTTTCCAACAGAAATTTCCCCAGATGGTTATTTGAATCCCCAAATTATCTGTCCTAGTTGTAAACCAAAGGCATAACGTCATCCTGCCTCTAAAATAAAAGACCTAAACCAAAATTCTGCCCAAGATATGGTTTGAGACAGCATTTCAGAAGTAACAAGCATATGCTAATTCCTGGCAACATTACTCTTAATGTCCATTCCTCTCCCTTGTGGTGATGGATTGTGCTTATGTCCAAAACTTTGAAGCACATAACTCCTGAAGCATTTGCAACCATTATTTGGTCAAATGAGATAGGAAATGAAACCATTGAGTTTAATTAATGGGTGAAATGTCTGATAAGACTAGGAACCATCTGCAACAGAATTTCTCTTGGAGGTTGTTAAAAATTCATTTACAGGTCTAGAATATGCCCAGGTTCTGTACATAAACAAACTCTGTACCCAGGATCTGTCCATAAACAAGCTCTGTATGTGACTCGTCACACTACAGTTTGAAATTTATAGTAAAGAACATGATAGGTATTCCTCCAAATTCAATTTGCAGAATACAAGCATACATCTTCCTTTGACTATTTCATATACATTGAACCATGTGTAAGCGGAGAGGATATTTAGAGGTCAACAGTTGGCTATACTAAAAGACTGACTACTGAACTGTTATATCTTGTGGTTGTATTGATGTAAGGAGAGGACTGAATGTAAGAAATGTCTGCTCAGGCTGGGAAGGTGGCTGAGTGGTAGAGCACTTGCCTAGCATGCATGAGACCCTGGGTTCGATTCCAGCACCACATAAGCAGAAAAAAATAAGCCAGAAGTGGTGCTGTGGCTCAAGTGGTAGAGTGCTAGCCTTGAGTTGAAGAGCTGAGGGACAGTGCCCAGGCTCAGAGTTCAGGCCCCACGACTGGACCAAAAAAAAAAAGAAAAGAAAAGAAACACCAACTCTGGGCTGGGAAGGTGGCTCAGTGGTAGAGTGCTTGCCTTGCATGCATGAAGCCCTGGGTTCGATTCCTCAGCACCACATAAACAAGAAGAAAAAAGCCAGAAGTGGCGCTGTGGCTCAAGTGGTAGAGCGCTAGCCTTGAGCTGAAGAGCTGAGGGACAGCGCCCAGGCCCAGAGCTCAAGCCCCATGACCGGACCACAAAAAAAAAGAAATACCAACTCTAATTTCTGTGGTCAATGTAAAAACAAATTCCACATTATCAGATTCAGCCAATCCAACATAAAATTGCATTTTGTACTAATGAACATATACAGACTTTATTCTAATGAGTACAATATATCTAGTACTTACATATCATTTATGTTGTCTTAGTTGTTATAAGTAATGATGTAGGTTATTTGCAAATCCTATGGATTTCAGTGTCTTGGAGTAGGGAGGGTTGGATTGTAAGTCCTAGAAACAGACCTCCACGTATACTCAGAGACAGCTGTGCAGTGCTTATATAAAGTTCAACTATCACAAAATATGTGTGAAAGAAAGTTTTAGAACTTAAAGGATTTGATTTTTTCACTGGCCTTTTTACTCATGAGAGTGCTTATTTATACAGAAATCCAGCCTCATTTATAGTTCAGCTTTGCTCCCATAAAAGTGAGGTTTTTCCATTTGCAGTTTTGAGTTTAAATGTTAATGGTCCCTAGCATGGATTGCATTTATAACCAGGTAGTATAAACATATACTACCTGATCCTATCACTTGTAGCAGCAATTAAGTAATATTTTGTTTTAGAGATGTTAAAAAATGATACTTGTATTAGAAATGTCTTCCCTGTGGACAGATGCATTTAAAAGACGTTAAAAGGGTATTTCTTCTTTGTTTCCTCCAGATAATAGTGAAAATATAGTCCTTTTTTTTGGAGGTACTTTCTTTTTTATTTTTATAGTCTTTAATCACATCCTTTGCCAGATATTTCAAGTAGTAGTTATATTATGACCATAAAGTTGACACAGAACTTTTTAAATTGCAGAAGATGTTTCATTTTCCTGTTTTAGTTGTCCCTCATAATGTCATTGTGAATCATCAGGACGTAGAGTATTACCTGCTTTCAACATTGAGAAAATCTAGTCTGAACATGCTTTGGATAGTGAAATATGTGTGCCCACATTAGTATGTGATGAAGCCGGGCCTCAATCTTAGTTTTCTAAACTTTAGATTTGATGTCATTTAAAATTAGGAGTTTTCACAGAGCCTAAGTAAAGTGGCAGAGCAGAAGACAGGCTGTCTGATCTCTTCTCACCAAACTCTTTTTTTTTGGGGGGGGGGTCTGGTTGTGGGACCTGAACTCTGGGCCTGGGTGCTGTCCCTCAGCTCTTCAGCTCAAGGTTAGCGCTCTACCACTTGAGCCACAGTGCCACTTCCGGCTTTTTTCTTTTTTGCTTATGTGGTGCTGAGGAATTGAACCCAGGGCCTCAGGCATGCAAGGCAAGCTCTCTACCACTGAGCCACCTTCCCAGCCCCTCTCACCAAACTCTTTAGTCTTTCTGTATTTGAAGGAGGATCAGGGATTTACAGTGCAGGTAATAAAATGAATCACTTTTCCTTGAAAACTATCCCTAATACTTTGCAGTTTTATGAACTAATACAGTTGAAAAAATAGATCTTTTTAATAAAGTAGTTTGGATTATTGAATGTTGAATATGACACTGATAAGAAAACTCTGTATTGAATCCTTTTGTTGCTTGATACCACGTTCTAATAAATGCAAGACTATTTTTCTTTCTTTATAACTTCAGAGTCCTTAAATCTTACCTGCATCCTCTATATCAGAAGTACTTATGTCTGGAAGCAACTTTTTTTAAAGTATTATGTGAATATCAACTTTAAAAAGGAAATAAGTTTTTTCTTTGAGACTACCATCTGGAATAGGCTTTCTCAGCTTGGCAGCTAAGAAAGAAATCTCTTATTTACCAGTAATCTTAGTACATAATCCTCATTTGTAAACAGAGAGGTAGAGAAAGAGAAGGAAGCATGATGCAATTCTCATGAAATAACCCTGTTGTTAAAAGTCATTTCTCCAAAGGAATATTTCACTTGTCTGAGAGCTTATGGTGTTTGAAACATGTATTGTTTAATTTATGTGTAAATGTTTATCTTGTTACACTATTACCTACTGTGTGACCTGATATGATGAGTTTTTGCATTTAGCAGTAAGTGATTTAGAGTTCCAGATTATCTAGAGTTTCAGTATTTGGGGATATTTATCATAAACATTTGCACACTTAATTACTGTGCTTGATGTTTTAATTGGTTGATATTTGTGATTACATTTACAAGTATAACTTTGGTTATACTTTGGGGATGAATTTATTTTTCGTTTGTGCAAAGATTTGCTGAAGAGTGGGATTTGAACCATCTGTTAGAACCTGAGCATTGGGTGTCTTGGGAAGAAGTTATCAGGGAGGGTGGTTACTAATTAATTGATATCTCTACTGAAAGGTTATGGACACTGTGGAAACAATACATGCCCTCCCCTTACCTCCCATCTGTCAAAATTAAACATTTTGAAGGTAATCTAAAAGTGAGGGAATGTGAACAGTAGCTTTTAATTTAAATTTTCCTTGAAATGACAGCATCTTCATATATGGCAAAAACTTTTCTGGTAGACTTGGTTTTTCTCAAGTGTTCAGAATAAATACTGTGAAGTAAAGTTGAATATTTTATGTATGCATTGACTATTCTTTTTTTTTTTTTTGGTCCAGTCGTGGGGCCTGAACTCTGGGTCTGGGAGCTGTCCCTCAGCTCTTCAGCTCAAGGCTAGCACTCTACCACTTGAGCCACAGCGCCACTTCCGGCTTTTTTCTTCTTGCTTATGTGGTGCTGAGGAATCGAACCCAGGGCCTCATGTATGCAAGGCAAGCACTCTACCACTGAGTCACCTTCCCAGCCCCATGCATTGACTATTCTTAAAGTTAGCTTGTTTTTGAGAACAAAATGCTGAAACATCTTTGTTATAGTTATATGACACATAATATTTAGGATATAACCATCTGAGTAAAGATGATAGCAAATTATCCAGTAATTTTTTTAATCACATAGTCTTACATCATTTTATGGTTAATTTGTTAATGTAATTTATAGAGGAGACAGTACCAAAACTGTTTTTGTATGAAGTCAGATGATAAGGAAATTTAGACATCATCTAACAGTTTTACTTCTTTAAATTGGCAATGAATACAAAGATCAAACATTTGCATGTGGCTGTTGAGTTTGTTGGTTATGTTTATTGAAGAACAGGAAAAAAGAATAACAACTAGCCAGAATAGTGGGAGTAGCTAGCAAACATGGCAAGAATAAAATGAGGGAAATTAGGCAATCTGACAAACCACAGGAATTTGCAAGGAAGGTGGAATTAGAGCTAGTTCTTTTAATAGAGCTAAGTATACTGGTTATGTCTTTAGTAAAGTAAAACACAAATCCTAAATATTCTATCCAAATATATTTTCAGTAACTGTTGAAAATATTATTGGTTCTCATCCATAGTAGTATTCGTAAACCATAAAATGCCCATTAACACTAAAGCTCATGTGAGTCCAGATCCCGGGCAGTGGAACAAAGAACACTAAAGCTCATGTGAGTCCAGATCCCGGGCAGTGGAACAAAGTGGGTGGATGCCTAGGAGTGTGTGTGTGTGTGTGTGTGTGTAAGTGTAAGTATGTACATAGAAGAATTAGAATCTGAAGAGGAGACTTTTTTTTTTTAGAGGGAGTATTGGTTTTCATATCTGGGGAAAGACAAAATAGAACACTTATTTTTCCTTTCACTTAACCTTTTGGGAACAGTCATCAAATGCAATAGTTTTTAAATAATGTTGTTTATCCAATGATTGTTTGTTGTATTTACCAGATACTTTAAACAATATGATTTGTAATTCCCAGCAAATAATATTACTAAATTGTCTTAAAATTTCTTCACAGATGACGAGGGCAGCCAGGATGAACCCTTAGATTCGAAGGTGTGTACAAACTTCACCATCACCAATCTTTGCTGCCCAGTTGAAAAGTAGGCAATTTCCAACTTCACACCTGTAATCCCAGCTACTCAGGAGGCTGGATCTGATTGTCAGTTCAAAGCTGCTACAGCAGACTTATCCAAAAGACTCTCACCTCCAGTCACCTATTAAATAACCAGAAGGAAAGGTGTGGCTTAAGTAGTTAGGTGCCCACCTTGAGCAAAAAAGTCAAGAGAATGTGGGAGGTTCTGAGTTCAAGCCCTAGAACAAGGGCTTCTGGCTTAAAGAAAATAACCTGCAATGAGAAAATAGTACATATTTCCCTTAATAGTACTGGCTCTTAAATAAGTGTCATTTCAACTTGAAAATGCCTCTCCCCAATCCCAGTTGTATATATGTATTGCCTTAAGGCAATAAAGTTTCTGTTGCCTAAGAGAGATTTGGTTTTGCTCCCATATTTGGGGAATTTTCTTTCTTTCTTTTTCTTTTTGTACATAGGTCCTAGGGCTTGAACTCAAGGTCTAGCTAGGCACTGTCTCTGAGCTTTGTTGCTCAAGGCTAGTGCTCTACCACTTTGAGCCACAGCTCTACTTTCAGTTTTCTGAAAAACCTCATGGACTTTACTGTCTGGGCTGGCTTTGAACTGTGGTCCTCAGATCTCAGCTTCCTGAGTAGCTAGGATTCTGGCATATAGTCTGTCTCATGGGCTTTTCTGCCCAGGCTGGTTTCAGTCTTCAGTCCTCAGATCTCAGCCCCCAAACTGCTAGGTTTACTAGATGGCATGAGCCACCAGTAATTTTTCCACCATTTGTTTCCCCTTACATACATTTTACCTTAAATCTAAGGAGCAATGGTTATAACAGATTCTTACCTAAGGAGACCAACTTGATTATGAGCTCTGATCTCCAGATTAGAGGGAATATAGATTAAAAAGAGGAAGCTATAATACAGTTATCAGAGGAGAAATATAAGGTAGGATGGGAGCCAACTTTGGAGATTAAAGAAGGTTTCCTGGGAAAAGTAACAGCTAAGTTGAAATTTTAGAAAGTAAGAATTAGGCAGGTGATGATGCACTGTAAAAACCAGCCAAAGCCAGAACTGAGCCAGTGTGGCACTTTAAGGGGCTAAAGGAAACATCTATAGATAGTGAAAGGAATGCTAGGTTTGAATAGAGGGAATCTCTGGACGGTTGGTTACTAAGAATGCTTCTGTATTTTCAGGATTCTCTGCCATCAGATGAGTCAGTAAAGGACCACCCCACAGCAGGCAGAGTAATCGCTGGTCAGATATTTCTTGATTCAGAAGAGTCAGAATTAGAATCCTCTGTTCAAGAAGAGGAAGACAACCTCAAGAGCCAAGAGGGAGAAAGTGTTGCTGAAGAAATCAGCTTTCTAGAATCTCCAAATCCAGACAAGGATAATGAAGAGGCAAAGAAAGTGCAGAAGCCAGGTATTCTTGACTTTTTGTTCTGTTCTGGTTTTGTCTGTTGAGGAAAGCAATAACTGAAACTTTAAAACTAATGAGTGTAGAAGAGCACTGAAGATGATTGATCATACTATTAACCACATTCGACATTTAGACTGCAATTTTAAAGGATTTTTGATAATGGACTATATCAGAATTATACACTTACGTTTCATATAAATTTCTAAGAAATTTAAAAAAATAACTTGTTCAAGTAATACACAAAATGAAGTACAGGAAGAATTGACTAATACACTCTTCTAGTAATTAGAATTTTTACTAAACTACCCTATCCCTTATCCTAGGTAATTTGATTCTAGGTATTTACTCCAGTCTAATTGAAGCTATTGTAAACATGTTAACTGCAATCGTCTTGTAACTTTCACCCACTTTGTTGGCCCAATAGCTTCCTCTGTCGTAGCTTAGCATGCTCCCTTCTTAGGCAATTCTAGGCCCATTTATTAAAGGCAGTAAATAATTGGCCTCCACCCCTCTTTACCTTGAGATGGCATTCCTTTGGAGCAGCTACAATGATATAAGGCAGCAGGTTCCCCTTGGAATGACGTTCAGGCTGGGCAGCTGCAAGGCCCCTTATCTGCTACTTGGGTAGCAGCCATAAATCCTAGCCCAACATGATGAAGCCCCTGGTCCACACAGCCACACCAGGGTCTCCACCTCCTAAACCTTGTAGGTTATATAGGTCACCTCAGACAATAGCCGGCAGGCATTTCTCTCTTGTGAGAAGGGTCTTGCTAGTCCCTTTGCTGGCAGTAAACCTTGCCTTTGTTCTTTGTGCCTGGATTTCTGGGTGGTTTTCTGGCAAAATCTAATAAACTCAGCCAGGTGCTGGTGGCTCACACCTGTAATCCTAGATACTCAGGAGGCTGAGATCCGAGGATCACGATTCAGAACCGGCCCTGGCAAGGTAAGTCTATGAGACTCTCATCTCCAATTAACCACCAGAAAACCAGAAGTTGTGCTGTGGCTTAGGTGGTAGCGCACTCACCTTGAGCTAAAGAGCTCAGGAACAGTGTCCAGGCCCAGAGTTCAAGCCCCATGACCTCCCCCCCCCTCAAAAAAAAAGTCTAATAAGCTCTAACAATGCTTCTTTTAAATTTAAAGCTTTGATCTTTCTCACTACAGAGTATTCTAAATGTCTTTCCTTTTTAAAATTATTAACATTTCCACTCTATCCTGCCACCATTCTGTCATTTAATTTGTTATTTTAAAGATCACTTCTGTAGCTACTTATTATTTTAATATTAACACCTGTCAGGAATCAATCCAGATTTAAACTTTAAAAAAATTCAGATTCATTTTTTTTTAGGACAAATGTTTCATACCTGTGAATAGAAAAACCATTTTTAAGCAAAAATCTTTTAATCCTATCAATTAGAAATAACAGCTAATGTCATGTAAAACGTTCTTACAGGCTTATACAATTGTATAAACAAACTATGTTAGATACATTTGTTTGATTTGTTGTATTTTTCAATAACTATTTAGATTCATTTTAATACATGAAAGTGTTTACATACTTAGACATGTTACATACTCATACGTACTGAACATATAACATAAGCTGTATATGCATGGCTTTGTGTGCTGATCTGACTATATTAGGATTGGATTTTGTGACAGTTGTTTCTCAGTTGCTCCTTTTCTCAACTTTTCATTTATGATGTTGCTTTATTAATCTTTTCCAGAACCAAATTTGATCGTATAACTCCCTTATTTACAACCATTACCTCTCATTTGCCTTATGAGATGAATTATACACTCCTTAGCATGATTGACAGTCTTTTGTGTCTGACAAGCCAACAGCTTCAGTTACCTCATCTGTTGTAGCATCCTTTTTCAGAGGTCTCCAAGTGTACATACAGTTTATACCTGGGGCCTTGGTGCAGCTTCTCCCAGCTGTTTAAAATGCCTTTCTGGGGCTGGGAAGGTG